TCTGGAAGGCCCATTCAACCTGTCGCTCCTCAGTGGGACCTCAATCTAGTCCTTATGTCATGAATGAACTCTCCCTTTGTGAACCCCTGGCCTACTGCCCCCTTTCTCTTCTTTCCATAAAAGTTGCCTTCCTGGTGGCTATCACCTCTGCAAGGAGGGTTGACGAACTGGGAGCCAGGAAGGCAAACCTCCCTTTCACCACATTTCATAAGGATAAAGTTTTGCTGCGCTTCCATCCCATTTCTATTGAAAGTGGTTTCTTGCTTCCACCTCAACTAACCCATACATTTGCCAACCCCCTTTCCTAAACAACATGCATCGAATGAGGAAAGGCAGTTTCATTCCCTCGTTGTCCATAGGGTCTTGACCTTTTACCTATAAAGGAAGAAGCTCTCGCAAAAGTCTTCCAGACTATTAGTTACCAGACTATAGCAGAAAGAATTAAAGAACAGGCCATCTCCACCCAGAGAAGCTCAAAGTGGTCCTCAGGGTCCATTATGCTCTGCTATCAACTATTAGGACGGTTCCCACCAGATGGGATCTGAGCCCATTCCATGAGAGCGCAGGCATTAAGTACCATGGTGTTTCATGACGAGTCCCTAGCAGACATATGTAAGGTGGCCATGTAGAGTTTAGTACACACCTTTTCTGCTCATTATGCTCTACTGCATGATTCTGTTTGGCACAGCAGTTCTCCCTTCCACAGTTCCATCATCTTCCTTGCACTCTCCTCCTACCTCGGTACTGCTTATTAATCACCCTCAATGAAATACAATAAGGACCATCACTCAAAGAAGCAGGGGCGGTTACTTACCTATAACTGGAGGTTCTTCAAGACATGTGGTCCCTATCTGTATTCCACTTCCAACCTCCTTCCTCAGTTCAGAAGAAGGAACTGAAGATGCCGGTCCGTCCACCCTGCCCTTTGTTGTCTCAGGTGAAAATACGAGGCAATGCAAGGGCGCATGCATGGATCAACGAATGCTACTATGAAAAGCTCTGACTCCGGCACATGGTGCTGGTGCATAGCCCTTGGTGGAATAGAGAGAGAGAGACCATACATCTCAAAGAACCTTCAGTTACAGGCAACCTTCCGTCTCTGTCCCTTCCTCTCTTGCATTCATGGCCTGATCTGGAAGATGTGCTTAGAGCGCACACAAACCAGCACAAAAGATGCTGGAGGAGGTGGTGCACTCTGCCTTTACTTTTATCACAGTGATTAGCATGCTAAGGGGCTGAAGACTGAGGTTCAAATTCCCACCATGTCTGATGTGGAATAGGGTCTCCCACCTTCCAGGAGAGTGCCCTAACTCCTGGGCTCTGGGGTATTCTGGAGCTGGTTTCTGTGTCTCCTGTTGGAGGTGTCCCACTGCATATACTTTGGTCTCTGGCCCAATGAATATTCAGAGTAACTGGTGGTTAGGGTGCTCAGCTGAGACCCCCCTGATTCAATGAATAGTTATTTATACATAGTGGAACGGTTTCACTGACCAATGTGAGCCCAGAATACTTCTCTGCCAAGTACCCTAGCCACTGGACAATGAAGTGGGAGACCCAAGATCTAATCCGTTCTCTATGGTGCACAGTAGGGGGAACTTCAACCTGGATCTCCCACATGGTGAGTGAGTGAGGGGGACAGTTTACATACTTAACTCCCATAGAGGGTTCATGACTCTGAATACCAAGTGGAGGGAGGTGCTCCCTGTTGCCAAGACTTATGCTTCTAAATCCCTTTGAGTGGTGGGTCTTAGGCTACCCCCCTCTCCTTGGCATGTCCTAGTATTTGGCTTAGGCAGCTCCTTGCTCAGCAGGCTAGCTTTTGTGAACCCCTTTCTTAGCAGCCTAGATCTCCCCATGCACTGTATAAAGAAGCTGGGTGCTTAACTCAAGGATGTGAATGGTAATAGGTGCCAAAAAGGTAAGGAAGTGCTACAACACTTAGTACCTCAGTTCCCCTTTCTGAATCCCCTGTTCAGTTTTTATCCTAAGACAGTTACTTTCCAATCTACCCCCAATTAAGTTATTAAGTTCCAGTAGTACTAAGGGAAGCTTTTTTCCAACTCTAGAAGGAGTGTAGTCCTTTACCCATTTGAAACTGGAAACAGGCCCAAACAAAACCTTGATTCCAAACTTCCCAATGGGCTAAGCTAATGATTCTCATACTTCATTGAGCTGCAACCCCCTTCTGACAACAAAAATTACTACATGACCCTGGGTGTGGCAGGCCCCCAAGCCCTGGCACCCTGAGGGGGGAGGGAGTGAGGCAAAGTGCAAGAGGTTCAGCCCTGGGCTGGAGGAGGCACTGTAATCTGAGCCCTGCTGCTGAAGCCTGGACCCCAGCAAGTCTAACGATGGTCCCAGCAACCCCATTAAAATGGGGTGACAATCCATTTTGGGGTCCCAACCCACACTTTGAGAACTGCTGGGCTAACGCCAAACACCAGATCCAGTTGCCCCTAAGCTGTGGAAAATTTGCATGTAGAGCTAAATCCAAGCTTTAGATATAAGGCATATCTCTGTATGGTGAGGTCCACAGTGAATTTCCTTAATTTGAACTCTCATACTTAATGCTTAGCTCTGACTCTGTCACACTTGCTTGTATATGTATCAGTGTGTGAGGGGGAAGGATGTAAAAGCAGGGAATACACGTCTAGGCTTTGTTAAGTTTTGTGCTTGACTCCATGCATAGAACCCATTTGCTGTTTGATCATTGGCAAGTGACTGCCTCTATGATGCACCTTCCTCAGTTGTAGATGGGTGTGTGAAAAATAGCACCTTACATTTGATTGCAAAAAAACCATGAGTTACGGTTCAGGAGTGGGGGGCACCTGTAGCTTCCTTTGAAACCACCAGTCCAGCCTTCGATGTAGGGGAAGGACAGCTTTCAGTACTTAATTTTAGGCTGGGATTTTCAATTATAGCCCTCAGTTAACTAATCTAAACAAACAAGTTAACTGGACTTGTTTGGTGGAAGGGAAGGTTCAGAGTTCAGTTTTGACCCCTAAGCCTTGTCTCTGTGCATTACAAGTGCAAAACATTTAAATGCCCTTTTGTAAACTTTCATCATGTTAGTTACATGTGCTATAGGTTGAATAAATTGTGATTACAACTGAAATATCTCATTTGACAATTTGATTCTCATGGGTTATGAAATTAGTAAGGTAGGAACCATGTTACAAACCTTAAGATACTGTTTCCCTAGGCAATGCAATATGAAGGTGAATATTAACCTGATTTTGGTGGGTGCGAGGAAGCAAAATGCAAGGTTAACAATATGGACTAGCTTCATAATGGGATATAGGCATTACAGTGCCTAACTTGTAGGCACCTAGAAAAACACTGGGATTCCTAAAGTCTAGGTTAGACACCTGGAAGCCACCACAATAGGCAGCTGCCTGCCTGAACTACTCAATGAGAGATGCTGACTAGAGCTATGTTTCCTAAGCCCTGCCCCGCTCCTGGAGTCAGGCACATATTGGGGGGGGGGGGGAATAAGGAGGATTCCTGCCCACCTTAACTTAACCTAGTTGTCAGAGCACTCCCCCTGTATGTGCAAGGCCTGGGTTGATTCCTGCCTGCAGAGGGAGAAAAGATCTGAGCAGGGGTCTTTCACCTCTCAGTGCCCTAACCATTTGAGAATGACCTAGTCTGCAATGGGTCTTCCTCAAATCTCTGCTTGAAGCTGTTCCACTGTGTATAAATACATACTCACTGGACTAGGGGAACTGGCTCCTGGGTCACCCACCTGGGAGTGTCCTAACCACCAGCATTACTCATTCTCTTCTCTCTCTGGCCCCATGACTTTATACACCCTGGATAGTTTCAATAGGAGAGCATGAGGAAGACCTACATCAGAATAACCCACTTTCTGGGTAGGTTGGAGATAACTGTTCAAATCCTTCTTTTCCCCATAGCCCCCTCCAATCAGGTAGAGGGGGAAATTGAGCTATACAGTCCTGCAGGAGTGATCTAACTACTGGGCTCACAAGCACATCCTCCCAGAGTCTGAATGGGCCCTGAACTGCTAGGTGGCCTCAGAGCATGCCTTCTGGATGGGGCCCTGCAGATGAATGCTTATCTTCCCCTGCTTTGTGGATCATGCCAGGGCATAAGTGTCTGGCTGCCTAGAATGAGGCACCAGTGCACATACCCAGAGGCAAAAACTTAACAACTTTTTCAACAAAACTTTAGGCACTGAGTTTAGGTGCCAAAACACATGGGATTTGTGAGTTCCGGGGGCACTTAAGTGCTGGATGGAAAAGAGAGAATGATCCATTGAAAGGTACCTTGGATTGTATAGCATTGGTTAGAACCTGCTTACTTGCAAACCTCTACATGTGTCAAGACAAGAAAAACAGGCTAACCCACCTGAAAGCTTGGTTACTGACGAGTATGAGGGGTCTGGAAGAAAAAAAAGTCTTGTGGAGGAGGAGAAGGAAATGCTAAGCAAGGTTATTGAGGAATGGATCTCTGAACTCCTCTACATAACTAAGAGGAAGGAAGTCTGGAAGAATTCATACTTAGGCACCAAAAGTAAAAATGAAATATCCTTTGCTCACTCGCTTCCACAACTCCACTGCTTGAACAGAACAAGCACCTGCACTTTAAATTACAATACTCACACAGCTTTTCCCAGACTATTTCCACCATACTGCTGTGCAGGAGTAGCAGTTTTTCATAGCATACACACTAATGCTGTGACATAGGAGTAAAGTGCAATACTGGAGCTGGATACTTTTAAATATCCTAGGAGGATGCAACTAGACTCCCTTCAGATCTCTACCACTTCTGAATTTGTTTTCAACTGACCATTTTCCCCTCAGCCAGCCAACTAATGCACATGTGATCAAGGCAGACACTGCCAAAGTCAAGTCAGCATTTTGTTTTTTTCTATTTTGTACATCTCAGTGTAGCACTAAATACAAATAACTCTTTGGAGACCAAGTAATGTGACTTTGGAAAAAAATACTGTTCAAAGTATTTAGAAGAACAAAGAGCAATTTTTAGTTAAAACATTTATCCATTTTTTTTTTACTTTAACAGCTTTGTAAATAATACAGCACTTTCAAGTATTACATCAGAAATAAAGTCCTTGTTGATCATACTATTTAAATCTCAATTTGTTAATACTGACTAGCATGCTTTATACATCTTCAATAACTTATATCAAAGTGGCTCTTGGTGGATGGAAAATGCTGCACTTTTCCAGTAGTTGAAGGAAAAAAAAATGAAGTTTCAAGAACAAGCACTTGCATCACAACTCCAGTAGCCAACTGTTCCTTTAGAATGAGATTGCTGACCCACCTTCTCTACTTGTATTTATCCACATTCAAAAGAAACTTGCTGTCAGTTTACTTGATATGTAGCCAAGCTAGTTCTGGTGTGTTCCTGCTTGTTAGTCCTGTGAATGCCAGAATGTTTTCTACCCAATTTTTCAACACGTGAGAAAACTGGATTGCATTTGTGTACAAAAAGACTCATATTGTTTCCCCCTGATGATCCACCTTGGTGCTGATCACGCAGGACAAAGCTGCAATATAAAAAGGTGCCTAGAGGATTTCCCTAGGTGATCTTCAGGTGACCCAGCCTGTCTAGGATCTCCTAAACCAGTGCTTCCCTGGAGCTAGTGCAGGGACTGTAGTCAGGATATCCCTGCCTGCTGAAATATTACCTTGGGGCCATGGGCAGTTAGCACAAATAAGGGTAGTCTTCAGTCTCTTCTGCTTTATGCTGGGGGCTAACCCAGCACAAGACCTCCCCATTAACTGTGTAGAGGGTAAAGACATCTCTCCTGTGTGTCAAGCACTCCCCAGCTGCAACTGAGATCAGGGCCTCCGAAAGCAGTAAGATTTTACTGACAAACACCCTATAGTTCATTTATAAGCACTCCATTTCTTCTCATCTCTACTACTTTGTAACTTCCCAGACTTCCACATTTGCTCAAACACATACCCTGACATTCTGTCTGAAGTATTTTAATCTACACTGCTATTCTACCCTATTTCACACACATTGGTCTACCTTTTGACAGAGAACTGAACCTGAAGCTAGCTGTGGCCAGTTGCTCAAGATGATAAAGTTCACCTTTAAGGCACTATATATATTGGGGGGGACTGGAGGGGGGGAAATGGAACATTCTGCATTGAGAGAAGGGCAGTCTCAGTTGTGAAATCTTGCTATTTTTGAAATGCTCTATTCCATACCACTCAGCTTCGTAACAAGTAAAATCAGTGAAGCTTATTAGAGATTATCTGTTTCTCCTTCATTATTAACTAAACATACCCCTGCATGAGCTGTTTATGCTTTTCAGGCTAAAACCAGCAAAAGCTGTGTTAAACTAATGAGATCTCATTTGGAACAGAAGTTGCTAGTCTCAAACTAAATGCTGCAGTGCAAGAAACTTGTTACATCAGGTATTACATGAGAGGTAAATGACTGACAGTAACTTGACAGTACTTCATTCCCATTATTATCATTTACACAAACTGTCTGAAGACTGTCAGTCATACATATAAAAACATTTGTACAGATAAATTAGTGTTAAAATAAAACTACCACAGAAAAGTCTTAGTATTTTAGATATTGAAAGCTAGATTTTAAAGTTTATAGGTTTAAAAACTTGTACTGTCTCTCAACTCAACCCCCTTGTTAAAAGTCACATAAGGACAAATACCTCTAGAATTCAACATGTAAAACAAAGGCACTATGTTTTTATAATTTTAGGTCAGTATTTTTTTTGGTTGGTTTTGTAGGAGGGCACTAAATACCAAGAGACACTTACTACATAACATTGATTTCTAATAAGTAGCTGAATAGTCTCTTGTAGTGATATAAAAGTAGTTAAGATTTTTCAATTAAAGTCTTCATTTTTCCTGTAGGCTTCAGCATGTGTGGTCCAAACTGAAAATGAAAAACAAGTATGTTACAATATGTACAGATCCGGAAATTGTAGCATCATTTTATAATCCAAATTCATAAGTGCCCCGGGAACTCAAGCAGAGGCCACCCATCATTTGTCTGCTTTGCCTTGGTGCCATGGATGCAAACTGGATTTGATTTAGATGAATCTTACCCACAAAGTAACTAGAAATTGTCTCACAGGGGAAAACTCGTATCAGGAACCAAGTGAAGTTACTCAGATTAACCAGATGACTCCGCTCCCAGAACAAGTCTGCTGACTGAGACTTTTCCTGCACCACAGAATCCACAAAGGCACTCTTGCCATCAGTGCTAACAATCTCATCTGTTGCAAGTCCTCTGTAAATCACGTATAATGAAATGTGAGGACCAGACTTGGGGAGGGAGTGAGGGGAGAAAAGGCTGCCTACGGTTAAAAATGTTATTAGACCACAACTAGTATTTGTCACCACCACAACATTCTCTATCAAAAAGGCTTCCAGCAACTCTCCGGTTCCATTAGCCTCTGACGTTTACTATCCAATCAAGTCCCTTGCCCCAACAAAAGATGGACCACAATCTCAAAGTGGAAGTAGTAATGAACATTCCATGCCACAAGTCATATATTAACTCATGATTTTCTCTCAAGTCTTGTGAGATTTGTTCTCTTAAAATTCCCAACTTCTGGAGGCAAGTAATCAAGTAAGAATCTCAGCCCTTGTTACAAAAAAAATATAGCCCTCATGGTTGTAGAAAAGAACCTGCAAATGTTACCTGAATGCACCCCAAAAACTCAAGCCAGAAAACAAAAAAACAACCTTTAAGTCACCTGATTTTTGAATGCTTATGGTTGGTAATCTAGTTCTTCCCCAATCAGACCCAGAACACATCCAGCTGTATGAGTAAGGTTATTATACTTTCTACCTCTTTTGCTATTTGTTTTCCCAGCTGAGTGAAGTGCAAGAACTACTTGAAACTGATCGTGGGAGAAAAACCCTTTTACTTCAATCTTTTTTAAACACAACTTAATGACTTTTCCCAGCACCATGTTTAAATTTATTTATTTTTAAAATGGAACCCGGTTGCCTTTTAAAGTCTTAGTGATATGTGGAAGCAGAGAAAGAACTGACAGGAAGTGGATTGCAATGCATGACAGTTTGTTAGCAAGAGTCAGGCTAACTGTAACCCTAATAATGCGAGATTTGTAGAAGCGAGGAATGTGTGAGGCGAGTGGGAAAGAACTGTGTGAGAAGTTGTTGTGACCTTGTGTAGATAACGTGTAGATAATATGGAATGTAGACTAAGTCTACATTAGTGAGCAAAACAAGATATCAGAATGACCTATGTATAAACAAAATGCAGCTGTTGCTCATTGTCTGTAACAAAAGGTATAAATGTTTGCTGTAATTGTTTACCTGTTGAGAGACCTGTTTATTTTCTCTCTATCGATTGCATAGAGGGAGAGAGCTAAAGTATCTGACTTGCTGTACCCAAACAAAAAGTGAGAACTCTGTTATTCTCCGACAATTTGGGGGCTCGTCTGGGATGGCAACGCCCGCAGAGGCACCGGCAGCTGCTACGGATCATTCCCCTTCGAATCCCATGGCGCCACAATAGAGGTAGGAGACCTTTTGAAATCTCTATTGGGGTGTCGGAGGAGGACTGTCCGTGGGGCCATCAGTCCCTGTTGGGCTCACGCCATCTGAACTTATTGACTGTGCAGCAAGGTCAGATGCAGAGTGGTTCTGGGGAATTGTTTTGCCTCCCCCAATAAGGTAGTTGTATGCGGTTCTGGGGACCTGTTAGTTTGGCCGCCCCCATATGCATAAGAGAGATGCATAGGTATGCACTGGTGCTGAGGGGTTTTTACCGCCTCAAGGGGGGTTGTTACCACCTCATAGTGTAGATGCATCGTGGTACCTGGAAATAGAGGCCTTGGTGTGTGTGTGTGTACATCAGTGTGAATTGAGAGTTACCGGAAGACGCCCAGAGTACTCTGCGAAGTCTTTTGGCTCGTGACCAGAACTACTCTAACGCAAGCCCGGTAACTAGAGGATCTTTTAGGAGATCCAACCCACGGTGGGCTAACTTGGCCTGGCATTGTCCGGCGAGGAAGCTACCTGGGTCTAGGAGTGTGTGAACCCATCTTCCCTCCCCTTTCCTCTCTGTGTGAGCCACTGACAGTCTGATCATCTCACTGGATGCAACGAGAGTAAGCGGCGCCGTCTCTCTGAGACTAGCCGACGCTCTTTGCTGAAGGGAGGTGTAGGAGGGTCGTGGCCATCCTCATTAGCCTCTCCTGTGTGAGTGCCCTGTAGGGAGAGATCCTTAGTTTATGTGCGGACAGGGCATCCCCCCTGTATGTGTGTGATTGGAAAATGGGTGGGGGACAGTCTAAGCATTCCCTCTCACCCCCTAAGGGTACCCCAGCTTATTTCATGTACGTACATTTAGGTCTGACAACCTGCAGGTATTTAGATAATTGGAATCTTTTACATGCGAGCAAATCCATCTAAACAATGCCCACTATTGTTTAGTACCTTCAATCTAAATAAGATCATACATCACCAAAAAGCCTCTGACACACAATGGGAGCAATTTGTCTATTGAGGAAAGGAACGGGTTAATTTGAAATTCAGCTAAAGAGAAAGTTGATCTGCGTTCAAGGTCAAGAGTCAACGCAGACCAGGCTAAGTACAAAGAAAAACTGATTTCGGCCCCAGCTGGCTGTGAAAAAATATAGACAGAGTCAAACCAAAGGCAATACAAGTTACAGTACTGAGATTACATTTGCAAAGCTTAACTGTCCAGTGAGATCCAACAGTCTGCCTTTGCGACCCTGGAGCCGGCGTGGTTTGGGTACGCTGAAGAAGCCACAGGCAGCCAGCCTGGACTGGAATCTCTGAAAAGATGCCCCAGGAGACCCCAGGGCATAAAAGAACTGCCCTCCCAAGAGAGGAAGCAAGTTGGAAATTGCACAGCGCCTTCTCTGAACGTTATACACAGACGTGGCCAGTCTGGACGTACGTGTGTGAGTTTGAAAGTGCGCCTACTCTCAGATGCAGTAAGTCTGAGAACCGGAGAGGGGTTTAGCATTCCTCTCTCCACCCCGGCTGACCGGGAAGGGTGTCAGGTGGATCTACCCCAGTCGTAGCAGGACTGGGCAATAGAGAAGTTGGAGTAATGGGAAGAGTTGTGTACTTGATAACTAGAATTGAGTAATTAAGAGCATAGATCATGAACCAGGCAGCAACTCAAACCTACGCCCAGGGCAAGTTGCAAGCCTTGAGACAGGACTTCTACGCAGAAAAGGAAGCACTGGCTAAGCAAGTACCGGTCCTTCAGGGACTTGTCAGAATTTAACCATTTGTGTTTGCATATGCTGTAAGAGCAGTGTGTTTGCCACAAGAGAAAATTGAATAGTTAAACGCCAATGGGCCATGCGTTTTGCCCAAGTGGTAAGCCTCACGAGGGAGGATTCGGGTAGCCTTGTGAGTAAGAATGTTTAAGGAAGAGACCAGGAAGGGAGGAGGCTAGTTGAGAAGCCCACCCTCCTAGCTAAATTGGTAGTGGAACAAGCAGCTGCCCATGGAAGGGACGGTTCAGCGAGAAAAGCAGGATCGGGCCCAAGCGGGCAGGCAACAGAGAGATTGGAAAACAGGTTGGAAACTTTGAGGGCATAGTGGAAGAAAAGAGAGTGAGAAGTTAACTCTGTAGTTGCTAGAGGGAATCAAGCAGTGAAACTTGGTAGGAATGTCTGTAAGTAATCCAGGAAAGAGATTATTTAAGTGGAATTATTCGACTATGAAAACCTTAGTCTAATTTGCTGAAGAACACTCCTGCTGTGTACAATCTGTGTTTTATAAGTTTGAGATGAATTGGTATTGTTTTAAAGTTGCAAAACTGAGAATACTTTTGCCAGACACAGGAAACTAGTGTTGTTTAAGGTATTTAGCATTTAATCCTTAAGGTGACTTAATGCTTTACAAGATTTAAAATGTTTTAATTAAAAACCAAAGGTTGTGGCTGCAGCAAGGTAGTCAAAGCCAGGAGAATAAAAGATTTGAATTTGTTTTTGGGTAACAAAATAGCAGATAAAAGATCTGGTAGAGAGAAAGAAGGACAGTGCCCCTGACTCTGTATGGTCGAACTGTTTTACTAGAGGTGCATGGAGATTTTGTAAGCACAAAAGAAATATTTACACCTTGTGTAGAAATTGATGCTGCTAGTGTTGTGGAAATTGAATTGTGGAGAGGATGTGCATTTTCTCCAGAACATATGCAGTGTATATTGTAGTAGAGGTAAAAGAAATGCAAACCTACCAAAATAGGTTGTGTTGTCTTTTTCAGATCACTGTGTGTTTGAAAACAGGAGTTAAAAGTTAATTGTGTCCTTTTTAAGTAAGAGTCTTTAAGCTGTGGATAGCTTTGGATCCAGAAGCAAGCCAGAAAGCATCTGTACTAATGCAAATTATCTACCTGATAAGTAGATAAACAAATACAAGGAAATATGGGGTAATTCCTCTGTTTTGCCTAAAATCAACAAGAGTATTTGTATATAAAGGAAATATTTTAAGCAATGACTGACTGCCCAGAAGGGGTAGACCTCTGTTCTTTTGTCTTTCAGATCAGAGAAAACAGATGCCAGCTGAACAGCATTCAACGTACCATGCATTTACTGGTACAATAGGAATTATTTTTGTGTTCTATGTCCTGTCTTGTGGTGTTTGTCTTGTGGCCAGAATTGTTGTGTTTAATATTTTTATAAGACAGTCTAGTTCAAAATTAAATAGAAGGGTTAAATCAAAAAGCAGATACTTGTTTTATTCAACTTGGAATACAAAGTGTTTGGATAAATCAGGAAAATGTGATATACTAAAGTCTAATACATTTGCTTATGTAAGAAAAAGAAACTTCATTGGCCAGATTTTTTTAATTGAAAAACTGTTGTTAAAATTTGCATACCAACAGTCTTTGGAAGCAAGGACATGGAAGGTTAACCCACTCCCCATATTGCATATGGGATCCTTCTGGCTACCTCAGATTTCTAGCTAGAGGGCTGGGGAGGGAGGAAAGCTATTGGACACCAGAGGTTGTACCGAGTGGACTCCTCAAAAGTGGGTGTGCTTGTCCTGGTTTGTTGCTCCAAAGCTCTGTAATAAAGTTATTTTACTGGAAGGGTGTATATGGCATACATTGAATAAGACTAATGTACTGTGTAATGGCAATGTGTATGTGTTCATTGTTGGGAAAAGGTGTGTGAGTGAAGAGTGGAAGTTTCGTTTGTAGGTTAAAAGAAGCCAAGAAGGGAAGAAGGAAAAAGAACAGAACGAGTTAACTGGAAAAAATTGCTAGCAAGCTCAGTCCAAAAGATAAGACGCTGGCCCCATCCAAGGACACTGCCCACAGCTAAGACTTGGCTGACAGCCAAGAAAAGGGGGGCCTGAATGTGCCCAAGCAACTATGAGATCTGCAAAACACTGCCAGGCATTAATGAAATGTGTTACGTTTCTTTTCTCATGGATAAAGGAAGTGCTACCCAAAGACCCTAGTAGCCCTGCCATTCATTGAAACCAGGAGACTCAGTCTACGTAAAGTCCATCAACGAAAGACTGCTTTGGCTCCATGCTGGAAAGGCCCTTTTCAAGTCCTGTTAACCACCAACACCGCTGTGAAGTGCCAAGGACTGCCTACCTGGACCCATGCTTCGCACTGGAAAAAGACCCCTCCACCTCGGGAGGACTCTCCGACTGATAAGCCTATTTCTCCTTCTAGCTCTGCTGTGCCTTCTGGACAGCAGGAAAAAAAAAAGGGGGGGGGGGGAAGACACTGTGAAGTGCTAGTAACTTCTCCCTTGTATGATGCTGAACCATGACTGTTTCAGGAAAAGAGAAGAAGAAACACTTGCTTCATTGAAACCACAAAAGTCCAGGGATTCCTGACTACAAAAGACATTAAGAACTGACCCTGGTGAAGAAACAAAGCATTATACACTGGCAGAAAGAAACTTGTGGGACCCATGCTTGGGAATGTGGTATTGATTGGATTTTGGGGTTTATTCTACAGGCTGCGCCCTGTGTTTTGGATAAATCCTTCAGCATGGATTGCCCTCCCTAATTGGATTTTAAATGATAACTACCAAAGGCACCTTGTTGCCATTGCCCCTGCCATCTCCTCCATTACACTATTACCCCTGTAACACATCCAAATACAGACAATGCCATATATTTGATAAAGCCATTGGCCAAAGCTTTCACACTTTAAAAATAATTTTTTTTTCAAACAATATTTAAATAAATCACTAAAGGTTCAGGATATCCCATATAAGCGAACAATTGAATGGAAAACAAATGGATCAGTGGAGATAAAAATACATGATATCACTACCAGTGAACCCCAAGAATCTGTAATTGCAATTGATGGGTTCTATAGTGAAGTAGATATGATGGCTGTTCCTGGAATTTGCACTGTATTAAATGAGAGAGGCCCTTATTGTTATTTGGTAACCTAATTAGTGAACAATTAAACGAATACCCAAAGAGTTTGTTTTGCCACTGGACATTTTAACTGCATAGAAATTATTCCAGTGACTAATAATGTGACCTGTACCTTATTGCAATACACCCCTTCTTATGCCATTAATATCATGCCTCACGGAAATACATAAAGGTGTTCAACCAACAGATGTGGTATAGTACTACACCAAAGAGAGATGTATTAGAATCATAG